AGGTCAGAGTGGAAATTCACCATCACACCACCTGCAGCCCAGATAGCTAGAGTGCTCAAGATTCAGAATGAAGCCCAAACTGCCAAGGAGTTTATTAAAATCATAGAGAGTGCAGAAAATGAGTATCAGACAGCGATTAGTGAAAACTATCAGGCAATGTCAGACACCACATTCAAGGCCTTGCGCCGGCAGCTTCCTGTTACCCGCACCAAAATCGACTGAAACAAGATACTGAGCTATAAGATTGGCAAAGAAATGCAGAATGCTTAAAGGCCGACTGTGGGATTCTTCTGTATATGGAAAGAGAATGATTCAAAATGTGGTCATACAATAAATAAGTGATTTATAAAGAAAAGTGTTGGGGAGATGGCTCAGTAGAATAAGTGCTTCCCTGGTAAGCACAAGGGCCTGAGTTCAGTCCCCAGTTCTGGAAAAAAAAAAAAAAAAAAAAAAAGTGCTATTTTGCTAGGGCTTTCAAACTTAACAGATTTTCTAGCCTCATGGCTACATCTACTTGTAAATTTTTTTTTTTTTCTGTTTTATGTTGGAAAGAGAGAGATCTATCTTAGAATCATTTTACTGTGTAGATAATTTTCCTAGCCATGAAATCCTGCTACTATTTAGGTAATATGTTCAGTACTTTTTTACCCCTGTGCTTCCGAGCACTTGTGTTACTTCAGTGGCTTCTACTGATCCAACAGGTAAAGAGGCTATGCTGTAAACTGTAGCTAAATGGAAGATGCACTCATCTTTTTCCATTTGGCTGCTCTGATCATCATTTACATCTCATAACTGTTAAAGTTTTGCATTAGGGTCTTTCAGTTTCATTTGGGTGGGAGCAAAAGAAATATTCTGAGAATTCCATGATAGCCAGCTTTTCTGGGGGCATTTGTTTTAAATCCAAAGACTTGAACCATTTCCTGCACAAGAACATGTTTGCTTTTTTGGGGGGAGGGAGTTCTCTCATTGTCTCCTTCCCTATTGTAGGTATTGACACCTGCGTTTTTAGAAGAATTTTACCCATTTACATTGTTTGTGTGTGTGTTTAAAAACTGCTGACATACTGTGGATGTAGTAAAACTTGAAAAATGCAGTGTTGAAGGAATCATGGGTATCTTGTCCTTGTCCTTTATTGCTTTGTAGCAGGACTGTACTATAAGCAAGTGAATCAAACAGCTCTATAAATCACAAAAATTAAAACCAAAGTGAAAAGAGTAACTTCCAGGCAGTAGCTCTCTAATGTAACCTGTTATTTAAGGGCATACCAGTGCTTTCTAAGTAGGATATAAATCTTGTTCCAAATTACTCTTTTGTAGTCCTGTCTGCCAAGAACTCAAAAGTAACTGTGATATAGCATCCCTTCCCAGGTGTATTGGCAGGTGAATGTATGATCCCAGAACACAGCGGTGACAGAAATATGATAGGACAACCGATAATGGTGGATTCATTTATATTGTTTACACTTCTATGACCAGGCCTTAAAGGGAGGTCAGTTTTTTTAAAAACCAAGTAGTGTCTTCCTATTTCCAGGTACATGTTTTTTAAAAAAAAGGTGTTTATGCTTCAGCTTTGTTTTTTGCTCAGTAATGCAGTCATGCAAGAGTCTGTTTCTAAATGAAAGCTGTGCTAGTCTTTTTTTTCAAATAAAATGTATTTGTATTATTTGTCATTCATACTATCCATCCATCATACCATACTATCTTCTGTATCAGGTAGTCCAATAGAAATATACCTGTTTTGTTCTAAAAAAAAAAAAAAAAAATCCTACTGCTGAACACACAAGAGAATAAATGACAGGAAAATCAAGCTATTGCAACAAAAATACAGGCACTAAATCATAGTCTACAGCTAAAGTCACTCAGCGACCTTGGAGAGCAATCCAGGCCTCATCCCCACCATGCACGCGTGAGCACATCGCACTCAGCACGGCGGGTTTCACCGCCCAGGTGAACAGCTCACGGGCAGAGCACTGTGCTTGCTTTGGACAGCAGGCCACTGCCCATCTGAGATAGTCACCCATGAGTGGACTTAGCGCTGTCCCACTGGCTACTGCGAGAGTCATAGAAGCAAAGGCCTAGCTGTGCATGGTGTAAGCACAGGCCTGCAATCCCAGCTACTCAGGAGGCTGAGGCAGGAGGGCTACAAGCTCGAGTGCACCCTGGGCAACTTAGCAAGACCCGAAGTCTACATAAGTTAACAGTACCTAAGTAAAAAGGACTGGAGGGGGCTGGGGAGATAGCTCAGTAGGATAAGCGCTTGCCTGGCAAGCTCAAGGTCCTGAATTCAATCCCCGGTTCCGCCCAAAAAAAAAAAAAAAAATTAAAAAGGACTGGAGATGCAGCCCAGCGGTGGAATTCCTGCCTAGCAGGTGAAGCCCCAGGTTCAATCCCCAGTCCTGCAAAAAAACAGCAAAACCCCAACCAAGCTAACAAAAAAAGGCAAACCAAAACAACCAAAGAAGCAAAGTCCTCAAGGCAAGACAGACAATGAACTCATTTTCCTATGAGATTTCTCATTTCCCCCCCCACAGGGGTGGGGTGCGGTGAAGTCAGGAACTTGGTCACCTTTCTTGTCTCTGCTTCAGTGAGTGCAACAGGGAGGACAGCTATGAGCACAAGGCCTGCCTGAACTCAAGAAGACCCTGTCTCAAAAAACAAACTAGGGCTAGCGATGTAGCTCAGCGGCATAGTGCCTGCCTGGCAAGGGCAAGGTCCTGAGTTCAAATCCCAGTACCAAAAAAGAAAAGGTACAAATATGAAAAAGAAAAAACTAGAATGTAACCTGTGGTACAGAATGTGAACCAGAGGTACTGGTGTGGGTACATAAATCATTACAGGAATACACCTGAGAAATGTAGGGGATTCGGTTCTAGATCCCTATAATAAAACAGGTATTGTAATATTTGTTCTAAATAAGCCAAATTTTGGTTTCCCAGAGCATACAAAAGTTACATTCCAATTACTCTGTTCTCTATTAAATGTGCAACGGCACACCTAAAAAAATGTATACACTTCAATTTTAAAATCTTTTCTTGCTGACCAGTGTAAAGGCTGGGTTGGCTGCAGCTGCTTCTGCCTCTGTCTCCCCCTCACTCGTTCATACCCCCAACTCCGTTTTCCCCTCTGCTGGGGACTGAACCTAGGGACTCCTATTCGCTAAGCACACACTCTTACCACTGAGCTACACCCCAAGCCTAGCAATTTCTTCAAATAAAACAACAATGAAGTTTGCCACCTTGACTGATTCTGGTGAAGACTTCTCTCCAGCACTCGATGCTACCTGCCAGCGTTTTTACCCACAGCAGAATAACCTCCAATCCTCCAAACTGGCTGCTCTATCAACCCTGGATGTAATCTGCAAGTGTTCCACTGCATTTCAGCAGCACCTTCACGGGCAGGTTCCACCTCACCCACAAGAAGAAAGGCCTTAAACATGAACAGCTTTCTTTGCTTTGAGATGAGTGCACACTGTCACACTGAGCTGAAATTTGAGTAACAAAAGAACCAATGATAAGCCAGATGTGGTGAAGCATGCCTGTAATCCCAGCTCTGTAGTGGCTGAAGCAGGAGGACCTTAAGTTTGAGCCAGGCTGGGGCAACTCAGGGACTCAGTCAGATCTTGTCTCAAAATAAAAATTTAAAAAGGGCTGAGGTTGTAGCTGAGTGTGAAAGCCCTAAATTCAATAAATAAATGAACAGATGAAAAGTTTGATAAGTAATGGGATGTACAAACTTTAATATATCACCGCACAAAATGCTAATTAACAACAAAGAGAAAATGAATTCCCTTTAGAATGGAATAATCTTCATTACAAAGGAACAAAGCAGAATCAGATGCCGCTTTACTATGACATCCTTGTCAAAGATGCATTCTGAACTAAGTCAGGAGGACACTCCCACAGACCCACATGAGGGTCACTCTGTGACACAACTGCCGTGTCACCTTCAGAAGGATCAAGGTCACAAAAATCAAGGAGATGCAGAGGATCCAATCCAGGGTGACGGAAACTAGACCCAAAAGGCTGACATGAAATATGTGACTCTCGAGGGGTCAGCGAGATAGCTCAGGGGTCTAAAGCACCTGCTTAGGCAAGCTTAGGCAGGACGGGGACCCCTGGTCAATCCCTGGCACCAAATGCTGTGCCAGGCCCACCCCCAGAGTGGGCTGAGCTGGCCACAAAAAAAGAAAAAAGGAAGAAATGTGTGACTGTCTTGCCAAAAGGACACTGTCGTGACATGCGCTGTACGGCCCAAGGACAACTATGAGTTACAGGCACTTGAGAAACAGCGGGCACAACACTGTGATCTTCCTTCAGCTTCTTAAAAGCAGGAGATGACATTTCATGTGAACAATGTCCTCCCTTTACCATGAAGTGCTGAGTTTCCAAGTGTGTACAACGGAAGGAACCTGAGATCACCCCAGTTTCTACTCAACAGAGTCTAAAACTATTTCTGATTGGCTACAAGAAAATGTCACAGTCAAGCTAATAATTTCTTTCTAATTCGGGGAAAATTTTCTAGACCAACTGGAAAAGGTTCTCTAGTCTGATTTTATATCAACCATATGGAATTACCTCAGCAATCTGTAAAACAGACTACTCTGCTCTCAAACAGTTCCATCAAAAAATGGAGATGAAATAAAGTGCATTTAGAATTTCACTTCAAAATATTCACTCTGATGGATGCAGCGGCAATGCAGCTGTAATGCCAGGACCCAAGAGGCTGAGGCAGGAGGACTGCTGTAAATTCAAGGCCAGTCTGGGCTACACATTGATGTCAAGATCAGCCTGAGCTATACTATTCCTTCTCAAAAACAAAAACAAAATAAAACAAAGAACTACTGTGTCAATGTAATAAATTTTAGGTTAACTTATTATGCAGCCATGGTAACTGAGAAACTCTTCTTTCAAGAGAAACACCAGACTGCCCTACATGAAGACGTCCAGTAAGCGTGCAGTGACGTGACCAGCGCCCAGGCAGACGCAGCACGGGTGAGCTTACCACTCGGGCGGCACCATGCTTCCATCCACATCCCAGAATGTGTTCTTGCCGTTCATTTCTGTGGTGTACATAACCCATCGGTGACGGCCTGGAGGGAAGATGTCAGGAAGTAAAAAATCGTTTTCCTCAAAGCATCAATGCATAATAATAGCTGGAAGTCATCTTCTAGGAATTCAATGTGCTCCTCCACAGAGCACCATCCAAGTAGCAGCACAGACAAACCCAGTGGGTGGGTGGCATGCTTACCCTGCCAGGGACTGCAGGGCGCACTCCCTAGGCAGGCTCGGGCCCTGCCCCAGGGCTCGGCCAGGGTGGAACTGAGCCCCAGAGAAATGTGTTCCCAGCTACTCAACGTTTTCAGAAAATGCCCCTCCTGAAGCAAGGTGGGAAAGCACTCACAGAATCATAGTTGAATTCTGTGCAAATGAAGAACCACCTCTCATCCTTTTGGTTGTCTGTGAATTATACATAATAAGAGAACATTATAAAGGTAGGCTAAACCAGGCTGGTGGCCCATGCCTGTAATCCCAGCACTTGGGAGGCTGAGACTGGAAGATCACTGGGAGTTCAAGAGCAGCCTGGGCTACAAAGTGAGCTCAAGGCCAGCCTGAATTGCAGAGTGAGGCCCTGTCTCAAAAAGACAAAAACAGAACTTTTTTTTTTTTTTTTTAACAAAAATATTTGGAACTGTAGGAAGCCTAACCACTATTTACAAAACTAAGTTTCTTTTCTTCCTTTCCTTTTCTTTGAGCCAGGGTCTTAGTGTGCATATAGTTTAGGCTGGCCTTAAACTCATTAAGTACCCAGCATAAAACTCTTTCTATTAGATTCTTAAACTGGGTGAAGACCTAGGTTTCAATCAGGTCTCTGACACTACTATACTAATCTCACTGTATAGTAGGTAAATTTTATTAGCCTCAGTTTCTGCATCTATTAAAAATGTATGACACATTGGGTCAGCCAGATAGTTCAGTGGATTAAAGTGCCTGCTTAGGCAGACCAGGGATCAGGTTCCATTCCCCGCCTGCAGAACCGTGCCAGCCCTGCCCCTGGGGTGCACTGAGACAGTGACTGAGACTGGGTGTGGTGCTGCACCCCTGTAATCCCAGCGCTTGGGAGGGTGAAAACAGGAGGATCATTATGAGTCCAATCTGTGTGGTGAGACCCTGGAGACCCTGTACTAAACACATGAAAAATAAATAATAAAAAAGATTATAACCCAACTATAAACTAGTGAGTAGGGGAAGGGCTCATAAGTCAGGCCATGACAATAGAACTTGGCAGTCATGGGAGAGCTGGGCCTTAATGATTTCACACTTAAAATATAAAGTCAAAATATTTAAAGGCCATATTCAGACAGCAATTCCACTTTCAAGAATTTCTACTTAAATACTTAAAAAGGGCTAAAGATATAACTCAGTGTGAAAGCCCTGAGTTATACCTCCAGTATTATCAAAAACAAAAAATGTCAAAGACAACTTAAATGTCCCTCCATGGTCAATGGTTTGAAAGAGTAACAGTTCACCCATACAGTAGAATATTGTGTTACTATTTTGAAAAATGCTACAAATCTAGGTGTGGTATAATCCCAGCACTCAGAAGGCTGAGGCAGAAAGATCAGAAGCTCGAGCCCAGCCTGTGCAAATTAGAAACTTATGAGGGCTCTGTCTCAAAATTAAAAACTGAAGACTGGGCAAATAATTCTTTGTTTTCTCCCTTAGATGACAACTACTTGTTAGTCATTGATACTTTTCATCTAATCAAGAACTTTTTAAAAGAATCATTTTATTATAATAAAAATAAATGCATATGGTAGAAAATTCAAAAAGGTAATAATACTATTTATTGAGCACTTAATATGTTCCAAACACTAGACAAGTACATCTTTTTTTTTTTTTTTTTTTTTGCAGAACCAGGGATTGAACTGAGGCCCTTGCGTTTGCTAGGTAGGTAAGCGCTGATTCTACTGAGGTATCTCCCCAGCCCAAAAAGTAGTTCTTAACAGGAGACACAGCATCGTCTAACGGCATTTTTGGTTGCCCACTTGCAAGGGTTTTAGTGATCACTACACAAGCACTAGACAGCCTCTCACAGCAAAGAAAGATCTGGAGCACAGTGTTAGCACCAGGCTGAGAAACCCTGCCATTAGGATAAATTCCTCCCCCTCATTTGCATCCCACTCCTCCCAGCAGTGCTAGAGAGTAGACTCACAGCCTCTGGGCGCGCAAGGCAAGTACGCTAGGGCTGAACTCTATGCTCAGCCCTCATTTATTTTTTCATCCATTTTTATGAGGGGTGTTTTCTAGACAGGGTGTCACACGTATTTCAGGCTGCCCACCTCACTATGTAGCTCTAGCTAACTGCAAACTCATGGCAATCCTCCTGCCTCAGCCTGTAATCCTGACTGTCAGGATTACAGGCATGAGCTACCATGTCCAACAACCTCATCTACTTTTTTTAACATAACTTCATCAGGTAAATATTATTAGTGTACTTTATAGATGAGGAAACTGAGGCTTAAAAAATAAATCGTTAATCAGGTCACGGAGGTATAAAGGAGAATACAGAATGCTAAATCCGCATCATTTGTTCTACTCCAAATTTCTTGTGTTTCCTTCTAAAACTTAATACATACACAAAAGTGTGCATTTTCTGCCACTGAGGACACCAATAAATTTTTTTTTTTTTTTCCAGTGAGTTCAGGCTGGTCACTATGTGGCCCAGCTGGCTTTGAACTTGCGGCAATCCTCCTGCCTCAGCCTCCCCAGTGTACAGATTACAGATGTGTGCCACCATGCTCAGTGAGGATATCATATAATGTTTATCCTACAACTGGAGTTTTGTTGTTATATATACACATTTGAATTTTTTCTATACAAAATACATAGGTTTATATCATTCTTTTTTTCCTGGTACCAGGGATTGAATTCAGGACCCTGCGCTTGCCAGGCAGGCGCTTGTTCTACTGAGCTATCTCCCCAGCCCAGTTTGTATCATTCTTAACAGCATCAAAGTATTCTATAAAAAAAGATGTAAACTGAACATTAATGTTGCTTTAGAATTTACCACTAAAATATTGCTGAAATTGATAATCCTTGTGAGGATATTTGTAGAAACCCCAAGACAAAGGTTAATGTAAATTTTAACAACTATTATCAAAGTGTCAAAAAAGATTATATTGCTTTATATATTGCTATACCTTTATTGATATCCTTGTGAGGATATTTGTAGAAGTGCCAAGACAAAGGATAATGTAAATTTTAACAAGTATTATCAAAGTGTCCTCAAAAAAGAGTACACTGCTTTATATACTGCTATGCCTTTACCGACACTGGAATTTGTCAAGTTGAAAAATACTTCAAATTCTGATCAGTAAAACAAAACTAAACTAAACAAAAGATAATACTTTCCTTTAAGCTGCATTTCCGTTATAAGTGAGGATGAGCATTCTTAATACCTTCTTCGCCTTTTTTCCCTGTGAATTTTTTCCTATTGACTTTTTCATCCTTCCCAAGTGCTTTGCAAGACCTCCTTGTACAGTATGAAAAACACTCTTGCCAAATCCCAACCCCGATCCAATTATCCTCACCAAAAGTACTGCACTCACCAAAAAATTGCTTGTTGTCCTCATAGTATTTGTTGCCATATTTGTCCTCTCCCACCAACGTTCCGATCTTCACATCATTTGTCCTGTGAATGTCCAAAAGAAAACGCGTGTCAGAATGATTCGTTGCTCAAAATGCAAGCAGAGCAGAGACTGGGATTCGACCCCTGGCACCCCATGCCCAGCCGGCCCCAACCCGGGCGCACTGAGCCGGCCACCTAGACCGACCCGGCTGGTGGCACAAGCCTGTAATCCTGAAAGCAAGGAGGATCGCTACGAGTCCCAGCTGCGCAGTGAGACCCCGTACCAAATACATTTAAAACACACACACACACACACACACACACACACACACACACACACGGAAACAGGGTGAAAATACCAACTTTCAGAGACAAACGCTGCTGTAACAATTAGAAAAATGAGAAGACGCAGGCCAGGGGCGGTCCCCGGCTGTAGGTCACCAGCGACTATGGGGTCACCACGAACTGTCACCTCCAGCTAGGGCCTCAGCGATTAAGAATCGGCTTCCGGGTTAAGAACTGGAAATCTTTATCTCCCTGACCCCCAGGAGCACGCAGACAGGTCGGGCGAAAATGAACTGGCCCAACTGACGAGCGAGCTTTCCGGCCGCAGGACGACTTCTCTCTGCGCGCCATTCCCGCGCCGACCCGCCGCGCAGTCAGCACAACCGGCCAGGCAGGGCTGGGCCGCCCGGTGTCCTTGACCCGACCCGCGGGGTGCCCAAGGGGACCCAAGCCCGGCTCCGCTGCGAGGACCAGAGGCGCCGGTCTGTCCGCAGAGACCACGAGCACAGCTCTCGCCACCTACCTGAAGAAAGCCCGTAGATAGCCGCGGAGGCCGCCGTGCCCACTGACCTGCTGCAGCCCGCGCTTCAAGACCTGCAGCAGATCCATCTTGGCCCCCAGGCCCCGCCCCCCGGTGCACCCGGGAAAAAGCACCGCCCGGAAGCGGCCGTTCAGCTGCAAGGAGCCCGGGCGCGGAAGGTTCCCACAGCGCGCGTGGCAGTAGCTCTGCGCTTGCGCAGACAGGCAGTGCTCCCGCTCCTACGGGGTGGGGCTCGGGGTCTCCAAAATAGGTACGGTTACACACCCCGGAGAGAGCGAGGGCGCTGTAGAATTAAGCGTTTTCTGAGTGTGCAGGGATGAGGGAGAGACTTACCCGAACAGGCATCTCGCTTTTAAAAACTCCAGTGTTTTCCCTGTAAAGGGATTGGTTCCGCCTGTGAGCCCAGCATTCGGGAGGCTGAGGCAGGAGGATTGCTGTGAGTTTGAGGCCAGCCTAAACTCCATACTCAGACCCTGTCTTTAATAATAATAATAATAATAATAATAATAATAATAATAATAATAATAGCAACTATGATTCTTCACCCATCAGTTGGACTGTCGTCATCTCTTATCTGTGCTTTCAAACTCCATATCATTTCCTTAAAAGGTCAAGATTTGTAACCTCGGCATTTTTCTCTTACTTAAACAGGTTGTCCTAGGTGTCTGTAAGATGGTTTTATTTTTATTTTTTCTTTCTAAGGAATCTTTTATTTATTTGGTACAGTGGCACCCGGTTTCGGTGGCGGGCACTGCCGAGGTTTGAACCCAGGTCCTTGTGTTTGCCAGGTAGTTGCTTAGACCACCAAGCTGTCTCCCAAGCTCTGCAAAATAGGTTTAAATACAGAAATACAATATTATTTCTACAGAGATCAAGTGATGTGACTGCACCCTGAAAAAGACTCAATTTTGTGAGTAAATCTTCAACCTCAGAAGTTCCACTGCCGGCATAAATTCCCTTTTAAATTATCAATTGACTGTTCAGAATCATGTTGCATTTGAGTCAATAATGCGCTATAATTTAAATGCAATTTTCTGTTTGGTTTTAAATTCTACTTGAAATATTCCAGTGTATAAGAAGTCTTTCAAAAACATAGTTTTAGGCTGTGAAATAGCTCAGTGGTCTAAGCACCCGCCTTGCCCCGGGTTTGATTCCCCGAGCCTGCTGGCCACCACCTGTAATCCCAGCCACGGGGAGGCTGAGACAGGAGGAACGCTATGAGCTGCAAAGCGAGACTCTGTACCAAATAAATAAAAGATTTTTAAAAATCAAAAACATAATACCGTCTTCTCACCTGAAAAAAGTAGTCATTGTTTAACATCATTTAATATCCAGCTGGCAGTCAGGATTACCTGACGTGACTAGTATTTTCTCCCATTCCATCGATTATATTTTCCTTTTGTTGACTATTTCACTCTTGTTGCCTGTGCCTTTGGGTCATAGCCGAGTAAAACACTGCTGAATGCTCTGTGACAATGGCTTCCCCTTCGCTTCTAGGAGTTCTGTAATTTCAGGTCTTCTATTTCAGGTGTTGAGTGCATTGGAGTTGTTTCTGTAGCCAGCCTCGCAGGTAGCTGTCGCAGGTACAGGCCTCCCTGCGGGCCCGCAGCAGCCGTTCTTGCAGAGGGTGGCCTTTGTCCAGGGTTTGCCTTGGCAGTCTTGCTGCGGATCTCCTGGGCAGAACCCTCGGGGATTTTTTTCTGGGCTCTCTATTCTGTTCCACATTTATTTTTATTTTTTTCAAGAGAAAGAAACACTAAAACCAATGACACAAAATTTCAAACCAAGGTAGGAGAGCAACAGTGGTTAGTTCTGGGCTGCCCAGGTAGCTCAGTGCACTAAAGCGCCAGCCTAGGAGGAGCGCAGCGGGACGGGGTTCTATCCCCGAGGGCCGTGCCGCCCCGCCCCCGCCCCCGCGATTGAGATGGAGCGTGCTGGCGCGCGCCTGTAATCCCAGCGTTGGGAGGCTGAAAGCAGGAGAAATACCACGAGTCCAATCTGTGTAGTGAGACCCCGTAGACCCTGTACTACTTACATTTTTTTTAAAAAAGAAAATGGTTAGTTCATTGCTTATTGTTATCTGCAAAGTAGTTGCTCAGATTACAAGATATAGGCTTGAAAAACTGATCAAACTACACAAGCACAAGCCTTTCTGTTCTATGAACTAATAGAAATTAGTAGTATAGCTGTCTTAACTAATATACATATATATTTATATACATATATACATATGTATATATATGTAATTTTTCCATCCAGCTTTTCTCCTGTCCCCCATCCCAGTTTCTCTTTCCTTTTGAACAATTTCTTCCTATTTTCCAATATCTCTTATACATTTTGTATCTAATTTACTCTTTCAGCTTCTTCTTTTTTTTTTTTTTTTTTGCATAACCAGGGACTGAACTCAGGGCCTTGCACTTCCCAGGGAAGCACTTATTCCACTGAGCCATCTCCCCGGCCCCTCTTTCAGCTTCTTACACTATGGAGAAAATACTACATTTACACAAGTGAGACATTTTTACACCTATAAGTATGTTCTTAAGCTGTATCCATTTACCCATAGAAGTCTCAAATGCATCCTTCTTTATAGCTGAGTAGTGCTCCACTGTATAAAAATAACACATCCGAACTCTGTATGCTGGTATCTGCAATCTAAGCCACTACTTCAGGGACAGCAATGTGTAACACAAAAGCCATGCTTGAATACCTCACATCTTAGTCTTCTACTGTTTGTTTGGTACTGTCTCAAATGTCATACTAATTATTCCTATACTCTTTAAGATTTTTATAAAAAAGAGATAATATTAAAAAAAGAGACAAGAACAAAAATTTAAGGTTTTTGGAAAGCGAGTGGCAATATGCAACCACATGTCCAGTCCTGCATGGCCGTGTCTGTTGGCCTGAGCAACTGATTTAACGATAGATTGAACAGTGCATCAACCATTGTTGGTCAGCTGTTCTTGGTTTGAGGGCTGTGACATGTGCATTGTTGTGTGTTGCCTTGTTTCTGACTTTTGTTCTTGCTTTGCTTTTACTTTTCAAGATAAAATTAAA